TTGGGGGGGGGGGGGGGGGTAGGGGAAGGCAAAAACACCTATTTTGGTGAAAACGGCCCGTTTTTTGCTCATTTTTCACCAAAACAGGTGTTTTTCCCTTCCCCCAGACTTGCTGAAGCGTGCAGAGTGCTGTGGGAGGGGGAGGCAAAAGCACCCCCATTCTGGTGAAAAACAGCCCGTTTTTTGTCCATTTTTCACAAAAATGGGATGCGGGGACCGGGCATCGGGAGGCCAAAAATGGCTATATTTGATGTATAAGACACACCAACATTTCCACGCTCTTTTAGGGGGGAGAAAAGGTGTGTGTTATACTCTGAAAAATACGGTCATACAATTATTTAAAAAGGTTCAGAAAGGAAACTCAAGAATGAAATCAGTCCGGTATTCTTGCTTTTGTTTCATTCTTGTGTTCCTTTTCTTACCCTTTCTAAATGTTGTGTTTTCCGATTGTGTTTGGCTTTATTGTACCCTGCCCAGAGTCCACAATTTGGTGACGGCTGGGGCCTAAATTAAATAAGTTAAATTAAACATAACACCCAGCACGTTTCACGATGCAAAAACTAGATTAGAATAAGATGGAGAATGAAACGGTTACGTGAGGCTTACGGTTGCAATTTCTCTATGCACGATTACGATGTAGCCCTTGACTGACCACAGATCGTATAGTGACCGGTCAAAGTTACAGCCCCACTGAAATAAGCAACCTATGACCAGTTTTCACATTTATGACCATTGTAGCATCCTCAGGGTGCTTGACAACTGACTCAGACATCTGACGGTTGCAACATCCGCGGGGTCATTTTTGCGACTTTCTGACAACAAGCTAAGTCGACGGGGAACCCAGATTCCCTTAATAGCCATCTTCTTCACTTAACCAGTGCAGTGGTTCACTTTAAAACTTGTGGCAAGAAGGGTCGTAAAGCGGGGCAAAACTTCACTTCGCATCTGTTTCGCTTAGCAACGGAAAGGTTTGGCCCGGTTGTGGTTGTAAGCCGGGGAGGAAACCTGCCATTTGCAACTTGGCGCGTTTGCAGCTGGGTTGTTTTCCCTTCCTGCTTCTCCTGTTCACCAAAGCCCCCCTTCGGGGTTGTCTTTCCGCAGTCGTGCTGCACGGCAATAACCTCTTGGTCTTTGGCGGCACCGGGATCCCCTTTGGGGAGAGCAACGGCAACGATGTTCACGTCTGCAACGTAAGGTACAAGCGGTGGGCGCTCTTCAACTGCCGAGGGAAGAAGCCGAACCGCATCTACGGACAGGTAAAAGGCAGCCACGGGCTCCCTTGCGAAATCCGCTGAGCCTCCCTTTCTATGCGCCCATCTGACCATCCAGGGAGACACTAAAATCATAAATAATAACCTTAACAAAGTTAGACTTGAAAAAATTGTACCGTTAATCCTCCGCGTACGGCCACAGTTCAGCCCAACAGTTTTCAAGCAATCAGAATAGAGCTGGAGGGCACCTTGGAGGTCTTCTAGTCCAACCCCCTGCTCAAGCAGGAGACCCTACGCAATTTGAGGCAAGTTGTCAACTTGTAAATATTTCCATGTCCATTATCAAGTTGGCATTGAAAGAGAAGGGAGGGAGAATTCCACGCATACCTTCGACCAGGGTCGGATCTCAGATTTCTACAGCAGGCCCGAAATTTTACAACCCGCTGCAGCACTCCATTGGTGGATGTGATTTACGACACAGACTGAGGGGAGGGGAGACCCAGGGCTAAAGTTCAGCCAGCATTAAACGGAAATCAGATCTGGCTCCGTGGCAGGCAATGCCAAAATGTTGCTCCTAATAAATGACTGGATTTTATTATTATTATTGAACTTTGTCTCGAGGCTCGTAAATTAATCAGGGCATCTTTTGGGAACCTCACACAAGTGACTGTCCAGTCTCTTCGTAAAAACCTCCAGGGGTTGGAGCGCCCACAACTTTTGTTCCACTGGCTAATTGTCCTCACGGTTTGGAAGTTTCTCCTTAATTCCCTTCTGCTTCTCTCCGTGATTAGTCTTCACGCTGTGGGACATTCTCCCCCAGACGAGAGGCTGATCCCCCCCCCCCTCTCCTGGCATTCCGGAAAAGCCTCTGCCAACACACTCGGATCTGCAGAGAAGCATGCACTGGTTAGCACCCCAAAAGGCCTCCTCCCCCCCCTCTGGCTTTTCATTAATTTTTAACTTTGATTTTAATCATCACTGCCTTGGTTAGTTTCCACCTGTTGCTTCTTGTCCTGCCTTCTGGGGCTTTAGAAGATAAGTTGACCCCCCCTCTTCTTTTTGGGCAGCCCCCCAAGTACTGGAATTCTGCTCTCATGTCCCCCGTAGTCTTTCTTTTCTCTAAACCGGCCAAACTCAAATCCTGCAAACCGTTTTTGTCTTTAGGCCTTTAATCGTCTTAGTGTCATGCCTGCAAGCCATCTTTTCTTCCGGACTTTGGGCCTGCCACACTTTTCACTGTCTACTTTCTATTGCGGGGAAACGGGAGGGAGGATTATACCGAGTTGGGTGATATGTAGCCATAACAACATTCCGCTTAGAAACTCAAGGTCATCATTGTCTCTGCACCTGGCCGGAACTGGATGGGAGGAATCTGTCTTCATGGCAGTGGAAGATTGGACTTGTGGGTGTGTGTGTGGGGGAAAAATCTTGAACTTTCAACTGGGTGGGGAAATCTGGGAAGCTTTCAGATTCGGGTTTTCCCAGATGGGCCAATGTGGCTCTTTTAATAAATTGGGACTTTGAGGAATCCTTTGCCTCGGACTCTGATTTAATTTTGGATGCTATTTGAAACCCTGGCATTATCCCAAACTTGGGACCACACATTTAGTTGCTCTTCTCTGCACTTTTCCCAAAGGCTCAACATCTTTTTTGTAACATGGTGACCAAAACCGGATGCCCCATTCCAGGTGTGGCCTTCCTAAGGCTTTTTAAAGCGGTACTAAGCGTTCCCGTGATTTTGATTCTAGACCTCTGTTTATACAACCAAGGATCGCACCATCTTTTTTTGGGCTGGTTCCTGTTTAAAGGATCGTTCACCAGGACTCCCAAAGTCCCTCTCACAGAGAACTAACTCTCTTTGAACCAGGTTTCCCCCTGAGGGAGCCGACATAAAACACGGCCTATTTTCACACACCCTTTCCCTTTCTCCCTGTCAGGCCATGGCCATCATTAACGGCTCCTTGTACGTCTTTGGAGGAACGACTGGCTACATCTACAGCACAGATTTGCATAAACTGGACCTCAACACCAGGGAATGGACGCAGCTCAAGCCAAACAGCCTGCACTGTGATATGCCGGAGGAAAGGTCAGTGGGGCCCAAATCCACGGTCTGGGGGCTCCTTCATGCTTAGACTGCCCCCTGGGAGAAAGAAGAGGGCGGCTCGTCTTTTTAAAAGCACCTCACCATTCACTGCTAGAACAAGTGATATATTTCCAACAAAACCACCAGCAACGTCCTGCATTTCTCCATTTCGTCTGCAATCTCACTATCCAGGGACCCTGTGTAGTTTACATTGCCATAAAAACAAGGATGCTGTTGTTCAGTTACTAAGCCAGAGCCAGGATGCTGCCAATGGTTAGAACACGGTACAGGTAGTCCTCAGCTTAAGACCGAAACGGAACCCCCAAATTTCTGTTGCTAAAAGAGAAACATTTGCTAAGTGGGTTCGGCCCCGTTTCACAACCGTTCTTGTCACAGATCGAAAGTGAATCGCTGCAGTTGTTCGGTCAGTAATATGGTTGTTAGGTGATTCTGGCTTCCTCGTGGACTTTGCTTGTCACAAGTTACAGCCCTTTTTCAGGGCCGTTGTAACTTTGAACGGTCCCTAAACAAACGGTTGTAAGTTGAGGACTACCTGTGGTACAGGCTGACTCTGCCCATTGCCAGGAGTTTGATTCTATCCTGCTCAAGGGGGACGGCCTTCCATCCTGAAAATGAAGGCCCAGATTGTTAGGGGCAAAATGCTGACTCTGTAAACCGCTTAGAGAGGGCTGTAAAAACTCTGTGAAGCAGTATATAAGTCTAAGGGCTATTGCTTGGGAAGAAAGAGAGGGAAGGAAGGAAGGAAGGAAGGAAGGAAGGAAGGAAGGAAGGAAGGAAGGAAGGAAGGAAGGCCAAGTGGTTAGAATGTAGTATTGCAGGCTAACTGCCGACTGCCAGCAGTTCAATCCTGACCATCTTAAGGTTGACTCATCCTTCCATGGTCAGTAAAATGAGGACCCAGATGGTTGGGGACAAGAGGCTGACTCTAAACTGCTTAGAGAGGAAGCGGTATATAAAGCCGAGGTGGCGCAGTGGTTAGGGTGCAGTGCTGCAGGCCACTTCAGTTGACTGTTATCTGCAGTTCAGCGGTTCT